CTTCCAGTAATACAATATGGCGGTTACTGGATACTATACTGGAAATCAGCAAATGGGAACACACCCATAGTGTGAATCCTATATTTCAAGTACGCTGGATTCATTCGGAGCGTAACACAGGGAGGATCCCGTTTGCCTACAATCCTGATTGCACACACCACTCACATCAGCTGGTACCTAATAATTTTTTATTGCTATACCAATGAGAATATTTTATTTTTATGTTGGCCAATTAGCGATGCATGTGTGCAACATGCAATGTGTGTAACCGGAGCCTTCCCGTAACACATAAGGCATAAGAAATTCAACCAATCAGAGTTCTTTATTTTATGGAAAGAAAGGAAGCGAAGGACTTTGATTAGTATATTTTCTAAAACCTGTTCTACAATAGGGTAAGCCATAAGTCGTAAGAAATTAACCAATTGTTGATTATTTTTGTCATATTCAACTGTGATTGGTCAATATTTTACGCCTTACGACTCGCAACCCTATTGTAGAACAGGTATTATGCATTATGTGTTATATGTTATACAAGGATCTGGGGCTCTATTCTTGAAAAGAAACGTATACGAAAGTCTAGGGAAATATTAGTACACGTAACGTATACTGTATCATTTTCCTAGATTTTCGCATACGTTTCTTTTCAAGAATGGGTGCTTTCCATTTAGTGACACAAGTCGACACAAGTTGACTCCTAGTATTGTCTCTGCTTTCCATTACATTTGTGTCACTCTATGTCGATGACACAAGTCGACTTCGGTTGACTTTGCTCGAATGGTGAGTTTGGGTGAGTTTAGTGCAGTTACGTATGGTCGAACTGTTAATCTTCGACGGAAAGAAATTCTTGCAACATGGAACTAAAAGTATGAAACATTTTGTTATTGTTATTTTAAATAGAAAAATGCAAGTTATTAAGTGTATTATATAATAAAATTATTTGTGTTGTATTATATTACTTAATCTCATCTATGTATGGAAAGAAACGAAAAAGTTACTTAAGATAATTATAATAACGCAATTTTATTTGTATAAGGGCCGATTGTTTCATCTTTTGGTAAAATTTACCTGTTAGATAAGTAGCAATATTACCCGATCACATACGCGGATTGCCAGATTTACCTAACAGGTAAACTTTACTGAAAGATGTAACAATCGGTCCTAAATTATAAATTCTAACTCAATTTGCATTTTTATGCTTATATGTTACAGCGTATTACAATGAAAAAACTGCAATTTTTGTAAAATAATGGTAAAATAATTTTAAAAAATGATACAAATTTTTAAAAGTGAGCAATATACAAAAAGCAAATTTTATCCAAACAAAAAATTTTATACAAAAAGAAAATTATACGAATGAAGAAAAAGTAGAAGACGATCAGCCAGTTAAAACAAGTTTAAATCAAGACTTACAAGAATGTAAATTCATATGGTCTAAGCGAGCTACTTGTGCACTTTTATCTGCTTATGAAGCTCGAGATATTGAGGCAGATAATACAAAAATATATAGAATACAAAAAAAAATAAAAAAAATTGGCAATGTGTAGCTAACGATCTCAATATATTATCATTATCTGAAGTAGCAGTAAGTTTCAAAATTATATACATATGCATATATTGTAAGATATATACCAGGTTTAAGATACTGTATTATCTCACTAATAGTAAGAACAAGTGATGCGAGCAATTACAATTGGAAATTACCCGTGCTGGTTATCTGGATGTGTTGCGGTATAAGAGGATTAATTTATTTGTAATTATAGGGAAATTTATTTAAGGAGTACTTAAGGTACAGGGCAAGATTGCAGTTAAAGCTCTCTTTACACTTTAGTAATAGAACACTGACTTTATTACCCGTATACTTGTACAATGAAATATAATTAATGTTATTAATACTGTAACGCTTAATTCTACACGCGTTATACAACTTGACGGAAGCCGAAGGAATCAGAGAGAATTTAATCGCCTCTCTTTACCCGAAATTGATTAATCGTTCGCGAGACAAAGGATTAGTACTCGTCTGCTTCAGAGATAATCAACGACTCCTCTCTTACGATAGAGAAGCAGCGACTCGTGTCCTCTGATACGCCGGTTTTGTGGAAGCATGGTACGACGTGTGACGTATGTACGCACGGCGTTGCTGATTGCTCCGATTCGATTTCGGAGTAACAACGGCTAACGTAGGTGTCAGCAACTCCCGAGTACTGGGATATTCGAGAATGTTCGATGTTAAGAAAATAAATACATAGATGTTTTCTTACAGTTCGGCCATGCTACCCTTTTATTCGTCCTCGAATAAATTCTTCAGTGTGCTGCGGACAACTATTTTAACAATGCTATAAGATTGCCAATTAACTTAATTAGAACCCAATAAAACTTATTCGGCCATGCTGCCCTTTTATTCGTCCTCGAATAAATTCCTCAATGTGCTGCGGACAACTATTCTAACAATGCTATAAGTTTGCAAAATTACTTA